ATCCCGAGAGGAGAATGGAGGAGAAGGGATTGCGGTGTGGCCATCCTCCCTGGGGGGGTGATTTCTCACTCTCTGTCTCTCTGTCTCTCTCTGTCTGGTGAGCGCATGCGCCCTATAGCAAAAACCTCTCCAAAAAAGAAAACAAAAACAAAAACAAAAACAAAAAAAACACCATGCCACCTGCTGGCCCTCTTTGTTCGTTTTTTAAAAGAATTTTTACTGGGGCTGCCAGGTGGCGTGGTGGTTAAGAGCGCTGGGCTCCCACGTGTCCGACTGCAGTTTGAGTCCCAGACCTGGAGGCTTGTTTTCTCACTTTCTCTTTCTCTCTCTCTCTTTCTCTCTCTCTCTCTGGTCAAATGAAAAATAAATAAATAAGTAAAGTTAAATAAAACTAATTCTTGAAAAAAAAAAAAGCTCTCTTAGATAAAAGCAAACTTTCAAAAAATTTTTATTTAATTTCCTTTTTTTAATGAAGAATTATTTAATTTTGATTTACTTTTATTATTTTCTTTTTAATTTGACCAGAGAGAGAGAGAGAGAGAAAAAGTGAGAAAGCAAGCCGCCATGAGATTTGGGACTCGAACCATGGTTGGTCATGTGGGAGTCCCGTGCCTTAGCCACCATGCCACCTACCAGTCTCATATTAGTATTTTTCTTTTTTTTAAAATAATTTTATTTGGGACTGAAAAGTGGTGTTATAGTTAAAGACACTAGGGGCTGGCAGGGGCGTGGTGGTTAAGGGTGCTGGACTCCTACATGGCCGACCATAGTTTGAGTCCCGGACTGGCAGCTTGCTTTCTCACTTTCCCTCTCTACACTCTGTTCCTCTCTGGCCACATTAAATAAATAAAGTTCAATAAAATAATTCTTTAAAAAACAAAAGGCACTGGACTCCCACATGGCCAACGGCAGTTCAAGTCCCAGACTTGGTGGTTTGCTCTCACTTTCTCTCTGATCAAACTGCAAAATAATAATAATAAAAAATAATGTTAAATAAAATAATTCTTTTTTAAAAAAAAAACAAGTATTTTATTTAACGTTTTTTTAAAAATATTTTTAATTTAATTGTATTCATTGTCATTATTTTATTTTATTTTGAAGTTAACCAGAGAGAGACAGAGAGAGAGAAGGAAAGTGAGAAAGCAAGCTGCCAGGTCTAGGACTTGAACTGTGGTCAGCCACGTGGGAGTCCAGCCCTTTTAACTATGACACCACTTGCTGACCCCTATAATGATTTTATTTGAATTGTTTTAGAGATTTTTGCTATAGGGTGTGTACACTTGCCAAGAGACAGAGAAACAGAAAGTGAGAAATCACTCCCTCGGGTGGGGGCGGTGAGCACGCTGCAGTCCCTTCTCCTCCATTTTCCTCTCAGGATTTTGGACATGCACGTGAGTTTGAAGCTGCTAGACCCAGGATTTGAACTGTGGTCAACTGCGTGGGAGTCCAGCGACATAATCATTATGCCATTTTCTGGTCCCTCGTATTACTATTTGTTTAATTTGCTACAGGAGACAGAGAGAGAAAGTGAGAAAGCAAGGCTCCAGGCCTGGGACTCAAACCGTGGTCGGCCATGTAAGAATCCAGTGCCTTAGCCACCCCTCCACCTGCCGGCCCCCACCTTTAGTCTTTTATGTATTTGATACGTGTTTGATACGCAGCTACTAGGTGCTGGGCCTTATGCTGAAAGCAAATAAGATCCAGGGCCGTTGTCCCCATTGGCCTGTCCCCCACACCAGCCTGTCCCCCCAGCACTGCTGCCTTATCCTCATGGCCTATGTCCCCAACATTGGCCTGTCCCCCACACCACCACCACCAGCTCATCCCTCCCTCAATCCTGCCCCCCAGCTCCAGCCTGTCCCCCCAATACCCCCAGCGTATCCTGTCTTCTCCTGTTGCCCCAACCCTGGCCCGGTCACCCCCCACCAGCCTCCAGGAGCTCATGTCCGGTTTCGCCGGGGCAGACGGACACTTGGGAGATAAAAGCGAAGACAGGACAGGTGAAAGTGTCCCGGGAGGCAAGAGGACACCGTCCCAGAGTAGAGAAGGTCCTAGGCTTCCCCAAGGGGGAGATGTCTGAGTACTCATGACAGACGGTGGGAGGGGGTAAGAGAAGATGAGGGCTTTTTCTTTTCTTTTTTTTTTTTTTTAAGCATTATTTATTTCATTTCATTTATTCATTCATTTATTTTAATTTGACCAGAGAGAGAGACATAGAGTGAGAGAGTGAGAAAGGGAGAAAGAAAGCCACCAGGTCCAGGACTCGAACCGTGGTCGGCCATGTGGGAGTGTCCGGCGCCCTAACCACCGTGCCACCTGCTGGTCCCCCTCCCTTTATTTTTTTTTTTTTAAGAATTCTTTTATGTAACTTTATTTTATTGATTTATTTAAATTTGACCTGAGAGTGAGAGAGAGAGAGAGAGAGAAAGTGAGAAAGCAAGCTGCCACGTCCCGGACACAAACAGTGGTCTACCATGTGGGAGTCTAGAACCTTCACCACCATGCCACTCGCCACCGTGTATCTTTGGAGAGTAAGTGTGTGTGTATTTGTGTTGTGTATTTATGAGTGTGACTGTGAGTGTTTGTGTCTAAGTGTGTGTGTGTGTGTGTGTGTGTGTGCAAATTCATGCTCACTGTATGTCTTATTGTTTTTAGAGAGGTCTTTGCGCTATAGGGTGCGTGTGCTTGCTGGAGAGACAGAGACAGAGAGACAAAAAACCAAAAACCCCCCCCCCCCCCAGAGGGATGACCACACCGCGGTATTTTCTCCTCCATTCTCCTCTTGGGATTTTGGGCATGCACACTCACATGCCTGGCACGTTTTAAGCCTCTGGGCCCAGGGCTCGAACCACGGTCAACTACGTGAGAGTCCCAACGATGTAACTAACCATTTATACCATCGGCTGACCCGTATGTCTCTTTTGTTTTAAAGAATTATTTTATTGAAGTGTATTTTATTTATTTATTTATTTTACCTTGACCAGAGAGGGACAGAGAGAACAGAGAAAGAGAGAGGGAGGGGAAGTGAGAAAGCAACCCACCAGGCTTGGGACTCGAACCACGGTCTGCCATTATTGGAGTCCAGCTCTCTTAACCACCACGCCACCTGCCAGCCCCTCTTATGTCTTTATTTTCATTGGCTAGTGTGAGTGCATTCACTGGAGAGAGACGGAGAGAAGATAAAAAGTGAGAAATCACCCCCGAGGGGGGGTGGACACACCACAATCCCTTCTCCTCCCGGGATTTTGGGCACGCACACACATTTGACATGCTTTCTAAGCCACTGGGTCCAGGACTCAAACCACAAAGTCGACTATGCGGAATCCAGTTGCTTTAACCACCACGCCACTGGCTGACCCTACTCATGGCTTTTTTTTTATCTTTTTTTTTTTTGGAGAGATTTTCACTGTAGGGCGCGTGCACTCGCCAGACAGACAGAGAGAGACAGAAAGCGAGAAATCACCCCCCAGGGGGGATGGTCACGCCGCAATCCCTTCTCCTCTCGGGATCTTGGGCACGCACGCACACGCGCCCGGCGTGAGTTTTAAGCCACCGGGTCCGGGACACGAACCGCGGTCGACTACGTGGGAGTCCAGCGACATAGCCATTACGCTAACTGCTGGTTCCCAACTCATGGCTTTTTTAACCTGACTCTCTCTTCCAGAAGACCGTCTTGACCACCCTGTCTAAAATGACAGCCCCTGGGACCAGCAGAAAATTTAAAAAAAGAAGGAGTAAATACACTTAAAAAAAAAATTTTTTTTTAATTATTTTATTTAGCTTTACTTATTCATATATTTTTAAATTTGATCAGAGGGGGACAGAGTGAGAGAGAGAAGGAAAATGAAAAAGCAAACTGCCAGGTCCAGGACTCGAACCACGGTCGGCCATGTGAGAGTCCAGTGGCCTTAACCACCACGCCACCTGCCAGCCCCAAGAAAAAATTTAAAAATAAAAATAAAATACAGTGACAGCCCCCATTTCCTAACGTCCTGCCCTGCTCTCCCCCCTCACACCCTCTTTCCATCCATCCGTATTTCCATCTGATATTTTAACAAGGATTATTTTAAGTTTATTATTATTATTTAATTTTTTAAGAATTATTTTATTTAGTTTTATTTATTTAATTTGATCAGAGAGGGACAGAGCAAGCGAGAGAGAGAGAGAGAAAGAGGGAGAAAGCAAGCTGCCAGGTCTGGGATTTGAACCATAGTTGGCCATGTGGGCGTCCAGTGTCCTTACCCACCACGCCACCTGCTGGCCCCATATTATTATTTACTTTTTAAAAAAGAGAATTATGGGGACCAGCAGGTGGTGTGGTGGTTAAGGCGCTGGACACTCCCACAGGGCCGACCACGGTTCAAGTCCTAGACCTGGTGGCTTGCTTTTTCACTTTCTCTCTCTCTCTCTCTCTGTATCTCTTTATGGCCAAATTAAAATAAATTAATGAATAAATAAAATTAATTTTAAAAAAAGTGGTCCTTTAAAAGAAAAAAAAAGAATGATTTTATTTTATGGTATTTATTTTAATTTGACTAGAGAGGGACAGAGTGAGAGAGAGAGACAGAGAGACAGAGAGGAAGTGAGAAGGCAAGCCTCCAGGTCCGGGACTCGACCATGTGGGAGTCCAGAGGCTTCATCACCAACACCTGCTGGTCCCTCCATCTGATTTTTGGTTTTTGCTTTTTTTACTTCTTTATTGTGTTTATTGATGTTTTCCTTGCTGGGCTGCCAGCCCCACTCCCCAGGGACAAGCAGTTTAGCCCCTCAGTATTGTGTCCAGGGCCAGGTCCCCAGCAGGCTGTCACCGGATGTCTGCCAAGTGCCTGAGACAGCACACGCTTCAGTCCAGTACTGTGGGACCCAGAGCAGGGGCGGAAACTGGGGAGGTGGGCTGGGCCCGGCTCAGAATGTGACACAGGAAGAGGGGGTGACCAAGACCTTCAAGGGACGGGCATGGTCCGGTGGCTGAGGCAGGCAGGCTGGGCCGGAGCCGCCTCCATCCTTCCTTCCCCCCGCGTCTTGGGCAAACATTCTTCACCCCAACCGTCTTGCCCTTTTGCCCCCCGCCTGTCTCACAATGCCCGTGTGGAGCAGCCCCACTCCTGCCTGTGTCCCTTCCTCCTTGGGATTCCCCTTCCTCCTCCCTCTCCAAATTCTCCCGGCCAACTTCATTCTTTCTTTCCTTTTTATTGTTTTTTTTTTTTTTTTTTTTTGCCATAGGGTATCTGTGCTTACCAGGGAGAGACAGAGACAGAGAGGGAAAGGAAGAAATCACCTCCCCCAGGGGGATGGCCACGCCGCAATCCCTTCTCCTCCATTCTCCTCTCGGGATCTTGGGCATGCACGCACACGTGCCCGGCATGAGTTTAAGTCAGTGGGTCCAGGACTCGAACCGTGGTTGATCACATGGAAGTCCAGCTACATAGCCATTATGCCAACTGCTGGTCCCACAAAACATTTTTTAAAAAAACTAAAGGAAGGGAACCAGCAGTTAGCGTAATAGCTATGTCGCTGAACTCCCACGTAGTCGACCGTGGTTCGCGTCCCGGACCCGGTGGCTTAAAACTCACGCCGGGCGCGTGTGCGTGCGTGCCCAAGATCCCGAGAGGAGAGTGGAGGAGAAGGGATTGCGGCGTGACCATCCTCCCTGGGGGGTGATTTCTTGCTTTCTGTCTCTATGTCTCTGTCTGTCTGGCGAGCGCACGCGCCCTATAGCAAAAAACCTCTAAAAAAAAAAAAACAGAAAAGGAAGTGGCTTTTCCATGAAGAGCATCACTCCTGGCAGCAGATCCTCCCAGGTCCAAGGCAGAGGTATGTCACCACGGTGTGACCTGTGGATAGAGCAGATACCATGAGCATTTCCTCCATAGTATGTTTGCAGAGCTGCCGCCTCACGTGTGTGACTTCCTGCGGACAAGGGGACTTCAAAAAGTTTGTGCATGGGGACGAACCAGCAGTTAACCTCTAGGCTGTGTCGTTGGACTTCCATGTAGCCAACCATGGTTCAGGTCCCAGACTGGGTGGCTTAAACTCACGCCGGGTGCGTGTGCGTGCGTGCCCAAGATCCCGAGAGGAGAATGGAGGAGAAGGGATTGCGGCGTGGCCATCCCCCCTGGGGGGTGACTTCTCGCTTTCTGTCTCTCTGTCTCTCTCTCCAGGCAAGCACGCGTGCCCTAGAGCAAAAATCTCTAAAATAAAAAAGTATGAGGGGCTGGAAGGTGGCGTAGCAGGAAAATGTCACACTCTGCAAGGCTGACCCCCAGCGGAAGGGTCTGGTTTTGCATCCGGGGACCTCCCCCGTGTCTGCCAGACCCACGTGTGCCCATAGTCCAGGACTGCCTGAGGCTGGGGGTGCATCTCGGCACCCAGAGCCTATCAAGGGTGCTGTCTGTCTCTGTCTCTGTCTCTCAGTCTCTTGCTTCTCGAAGACATAAATGAAGTTATGAGTTTATTTGGGCAAAAGAAATCTGAAGTTGTTTTTTTAGGATACCTATTTTCCATGACCTTTTCAAAGGAGGGGCTTTTAATGGAAAGAAAAAGACCAGGGCCAGCAGGTGGCTTGGTGGTTAAGGCACTGGATTCCCACAAGGCTGACCGCGGTTCGAGTCTCAGACTTGGCGGTTTGCTTTCTCACTTTCCCTCTATCTCTCTCGCTCTCTGTCTCTCTCTGGCGAGCTCACGAACCCTATAGTAAATTAAAGGAAAAATTAATTAACTGATTGATTAATTTCAATAAATAACTCTTTTTTTAAAAAAAAGTGCCAAGGGGAGTTGGCAGGTGGCATGGTGGTTAAGGGTGCTGGACTCCCATATGGTCGACCACGGTTTGAGTCCCGGACCCGGTGGCTTGCTTTCTCACTCTCTCACTCTGTCCTTCTCTGATCAAATTAAAATTTAAAAATGAAATTAATGAAATAAAGTTTTTTTAAAAAGTACCAAGGACATCATAGGTAAAGGTGACACTTGGGATGAAAGTAAAGAGGTTACAAGGAGTGGCTTGGAAGGCCCTATTAATGGAGTACCTGCTCCATCCCAACCCTGCGTGTGACATGGTGCCAGCCACCGAAAGTACAAGAACCCATGGGACCAGCAGATGGTGTAGCAGTAACTGGACTCCTACATGGCCAACCACAGTTCGAGTCCTGGTCCTGGTGGCTTAAACTCACGCCGGGCGTGTGTGCGTGCGTGCCCAAGATCCCGAGAGGAGAATAGAGGAGAAGGGATTGCGGTGTGGCCGTCCCCCCTGGGGGTGATTTCTTGCTTTCTGGCTCTTGATCTCTCTCTATCTTGCTGGTGAACGCCCTAAGGCAAAAACCTCAAAAACAAAAAAAGGAGAAGAACCCGTCTGGTGGGAGAGAGAGAGAAGCAGGACACAGAAGACAACGCCCACTCAAGTCCTCTGGGTCCGGCGTGTCTATTCCTCTCCCAACCCTGGAGGCCCTCCCAGGTCTAGAGGCTCCTTGTCCAACACCCCGTCTCTCCACCGCAGGTGTAACAACCGGACCCAGTGCGTGGTGGTGGCCGGCTCCGATGCCTTTCCTGACCCCTGTCCCGGGACATACAAGTACCTGGAGGTGCAGTACGACTGTGTCCCCTACAGTGAGTCATCTTGTTCCTTGTGCGGACGCGGGCCCTTCCCCCTAAGGAGCGAGCGAGGAGGAGCCACCTTGACCCGCCACATGTGCAGGCACATGGTGGGACCAGGCATGGGGCGACGGGGGAAGAGCCGGCCTGATCCCTCCCTCACACCGTCTCTTCTCCCAGACACCCTCGTCCGCACTCAGCAGGCCTGATCCCTCCCTCACACCGTCTCTTCTCCCAGACACCCTTGTCCGCACTCAGCACTACTTCCCACCCGCACAAACCGTCCCTTTCCACGAGCTCACCCTTCTCCAGCTACCATGACCCCGGTCCCCTCACTCCACTTCTAAACACGTCCCTAGCTTTTCAAGCACATCCAGGTCACGCTCCACGGCTCTCCTCTCTCCCCTTACCCTGGCTGCCCATCTGATCCCTCTGCCTCCCTTCTCTCCTCACACCCCTTCCCTTCCTCACCCCCTTACATGCCTGCTCTCACCTCACCTTTCTCTGGTCACCCCCACCCCTACACACACACACCTGCTCCTTCTCAGTCCTGGAAGCTAGATTCTATACCCCTAGAGGGAGACCACCCTCTGAGGCCTGGTGACAGATCTGGTGTGAAGGGCAGGGTGGCATCGTCCACAGAGTCATAGCTCCTGGTTGGTTTGCCCACTGCCACAACCGCACTTCCTGTCTGCAAAGGAAGTGCCGCCATATTGGAGCAAGAGTTGCTCCTCCACCCAGAAAGCCTGAGGAAGGTGGGAAGCTGGGAATCTGGCTGTCTTGTACCTTGGCCGAGGGGAGCAAAGACAAGGTCTCTCCTCCTCAGCACCCCACCCTTAACATCGCCCTTCTTTCCTGCCCTATCTCTTCCCTCCCTCCTTCCCATCACCCCTTCCCCTCTCTTCTCCCACCTGGCTTCATGAAGCCAACCTGGAGGTAGGCCCTCTGGGCAGAGGGGGGAGGAGGCAGGGCCACCAGGGTGTCTGAATGTGGGAGGCAGGGGCGGGGGGAGCAGGAGACCCTATAACTCTCCCTCCTCTCCCCTCCCACCCTAGCCTTCAGCCCCCCCACCCCACCCCCAACCTTTGCTTTCTCCTCGCAGGTGACACAACACGACGGTGACAGCGACCCCGGGGGAAACCGGATTGCTTTTGTGCTTCCATAATTTTCTTCTTTCAGTCCTTGCACTTTCCTTTCAGCACCGAGGTCTGCAGCCACCATCAGAGGGGGACGCCCGTGTGTGCTCCTTGAAGTCTCCCCACAGCACTGGGACCGCGGCCCGTCTCGCAGCTGGGACAGCGGGGAAGGGGTGGGAGCCGGCAAGGGGGAGTCAGGAGAGCCTAGGTTGGCGGGGAGGGGCAGGGGTGGTCTTGAATTTTCTGGCTCTTGAAACCTTGAGCAAATGACTTAATTTTCCCTGGGCCGCTGCAGAAGGAGCGATGAGTTCAGGAGACCTGATGTGAGAAGTTCTTGGCCCAGGGCCGGCCACAGGGTGGAGCTACCCCAGTGCTAGTATTTTAAGCGCTGAGTGTCAACCCCCCCCCACCCAACCCGGGACAGAGCTGTCTTCCCGCACCACCCTCCCCTCCCAGCACCCAGACCCGGGACTGGTTCAGGATGTGCTCAGGAAGGGTGCACGGATGCTCTTACAAGCTAGCTGAGCCAGGAGATGGTGTAGCAGTCACATCGCTGGACTCCCATGTAGTCGACTGTGGTTCGAGTCCCAGGCCCGGTGACTTGAAAATCACACCAGGCGCGTGTGCGTGCGTGCCGCAAGATCCTGGGAGGAGAATGGAGGAGAAGGGATTGCAGCGTGGCCATCCCCCGTGGGGGGTGATTTCTCACTTTCCCTCTCACTGTCTCTGTCTCTCTCCAGTGAGCGCATGTGCCCTATGGCAAAAACCTCTTAAAGGAAAAAAAAAATGGGGGGCAGGGGATCCAAAGTCTCCACTGAGATGCTCCAGGGAGCAGGAATTACAGAGGTGAGGCTTGTGCATGCTCCCAGCTGTAGGTGCAAAGGAAAGGGGCCTACTGCTGCCAGCCATGTGGCCTTAGCTGTGTCACTTCACTTCCCTGAGTCTCCATGTCCCTAGCTTCTTGCAGATGGAGTTCTCGAAAAACTGCCTCTGCCCTCTGCTGTTCCTGGCACCTCCTAAGTGCCAGACCCTTGATGGTCCTCACATTGGCTGTGATGATCGATCACTCACACCTGGGACCTCTTATCTATTATTATTATTATTATTATTATTATTATTATTGCTATTACTATTATTATTGTGATGGTAATCGAGTGAAAATAACAACAGTTAATGAGCTCAGTCCCTCCGGAGACAGAGAAGAGAAAAGACAGGAAATATCCCTGTCTGTGAAGATTCCAAAGCCAATCAGATTAAACTGGAAAAGGAGCCAGTAGGTGGCCTGGTGGTTAAGATACTGGACTCCCCCATGGCCAACCACAGTTTGATTCCCGGACCCGGCGGCTCAAAAAATCACACCAGGCGTGTGTCCATGCGTGCCCAGGATCCAGAGAGGAGAATGGAGAAGGGATTGCAGCGTGGCCATCCCCTCTGGAGGGCGTTGGTTTCTCTCTTTCCTTTGCTCTCTGTCTCTGTCTCTTTCTGGTGAGGGGACACACCCTATGGCAGGAAAAAAAACAAAAAAACAAGGCAGAAATAAAGCTAGATGCCCAGAGAGGAGAGGGACTCCGACGCTGTCTGGAGTTGAGCTCCGAGAGTGGCCAAGCGGCACAACCCACTGAGCCTGGGAAGGCCGTGGGGACAGAGCGGGATGCATGGGTGGCCTCACGCATGCGCACACACAGGGGACATCAGGGCAGAGCACGGACTTGATGTTGCTCCTAGCCTTCCAGGAGACCTGAGTTCAGGGACGACGGAAGCTATTACAGATGGGAGAACAGAGGCTGGGTGTCTGTGCCCAGGGGTCAGCTGAGCACAGGCCTGGGGAGGCTCTGGGAGGGGAGCTGTGCACCGGCTCTGCATACTCCCCTGTGTCCTGGAGGAGAGGGAAGGGGGCCCCCTGCGCAGAGCTTCCTGAAAGGCCAGGGATGCAGGGCCCCAGAGTTGCAGCCTGGGTGGCCTTCAGGGGTGGGTGATAGGGGCTGCTGTGAGAAGGGGACACTGGAAGTGTGGGGGACCCCCCACCATGCAGCAGCCCAGTCCGACTAACTCTGGATTTTGCCTTGCAGCACAGCCTAACCGGGCCCCTTGTTTTCTCAGGTGCTCAGGTGCCGCCCCGTCCAGGGGGCAGGAGCGGGCAGGCCTGGAGCTGGGGGCTCCCGGCCCCCCCCCAGGGTGGGCTGGATGGAGAGGCTGAGCCACAGGGCAAGCCCCCTCCTCCCGGGGAGAGCGTGTCTGTGCCCCCACCCGCTGTCCTGCCCAGTCTGTGTGCCCTCACCCCCCCCTTACTTCTCTGTCTCTGTCTCCCCCATCCTGGCTCCCCAAGAGCCGAGGCCGGGTCCCCCTGCCTGTCTGCCTCTCTGTCGTCGGTCCCTGTCTGGCTCTGTGTCCCGCTTTCTCTGGGTCTTGTGGGCTTGGAAGAACCCGGCTGGATTGGGTGGAGGCCAGTACAAAGGAGAAGGGGTTCAGCCTGTCCTCTCTGGCCCCCCCACCCCGGGCCCCTGGCTCTAACAGGAGGGCGGCAGGCAGGGTTGGAGGGGGCCGAGAGCTTCCTCCACCCCCTTCAACCCCTCCCTGCCGGCCCCCCCCCCACAGCACGGGGCA